CTTCAAAAAGAAACAATTGAAAACAGTAAAGCGAAGCCTTTTATCTAATAAACGCTGTAGAAGAACACAGGGAATAAATAATAGTTTTTAGATTATTTCATAAATAATTTAGCAACTAAAGCACTACCAGTGCTAACCTATGTCGGTCTAGCTTTTCGTTTTTTTTAAGATTACGCTAATCGTTGCCGGACATTGTCCTGTGATCTAAACTGTATTCAAAAGGCTTTGGTTCGAGACTGTGGACTCAGTCATGGTAGCAGAGCTACAAATTTTTTGATCAGTTATGTTCGGGAGCAGGTAAAGATTTTATAAAATTTCAAAATTGCTAGCTTGATTTTAATTGAAAAAAAAGGTTTTAAACAAAAATTCTCTGAGAAACAGTTTGTGATAGCTAAGTAAACATCTTTTGCTTAAAACCTAGCAAAAGTAAAGAAAAATAAAAGAAGTAAAGAGTTATTCGTAATATGAATAAGTGGAAATAATAGTTGAAAATTTCAAGGTTGCTTACTGGTTAAAGGATCTACCTCTAAACGGTGAAATATCAAAAGTTGATAGCATCCCACATTCCTGCAGACGATTTGTTTGCGATACTAATTTTGGCAAACAAAATTGTCAAATAGCTTTAAATGCCTAAACCTGTTTATTTGATATTACTTATTTGGTTGCCTTAGATATTGGGTCGCTTCTAAAAGTGATGACAAAAAAACAAAAAAAAAAAATGGAAAAAATGATGACAATGTAATTGCAAAAAGCCAATATTTGATGTTGTAACTTAAAGATAACACTTAAGTAGTTCTTTCTAGAACTAACTTAATAATGTTTTACTAAATATTATAATGTCACTGTTGTAATAGAAGAATTATTGTACAGTTTAGATACAATTAAATTATATTCAAATATAACAGATTGAATAAAAAAGTCTGTTTTAACCACTGTTGTCTATAATACTTTTTGCTCACTCAAGTTAACAGCAGAAAAAATTACACGTTAAATAGTTGCAAAAAACTGCCTATTTCAAGTGGTAGCTTCATTATCAATTAAGGAAACAATGGTTAAAGTAATAATCGAGACTGTAATTTACAAAATTATAAATAATTGAATTTGCTGAAGTTATGCTGCTAAAAAAAAAGGAATCACTAACCTGCAGTGAACAACCATTGGAGCATCAGTACGATTTTTGTCGATAAACTGCCTGACTCGCCGTCGAATTTCAATAAATGCGCTAATATACGGGTAACTGTCCAACTCCCATTCAGTAAAGTGAAAATGCTTGACAATCCGAGTTTGTTGGCCTTCATTTTCATCAACTTTTGTTAGCCGTAACGTTCGAATCACCTTTAAGCATATTCTCTTCTTTCACATCTTTAGGCATATACCAAAAAGTAGTTAAAAACTGTTTTCAACTGATGAAGTGTCTGATTTTGGATAAAAAAGTTTCGCAAACGAACATAACCCTTCAGCTTTTTTGTACAACTTTAAACTTCAATAAGATTTTAGAAAAGTATTGTTTCCATTTTTGATTTAAAGGTGTGACAAACGTCAGTTTGATTTTTCTAAGTGACGGTATCTAGCTGGGAGGTGCTATTTGAGAAGTTTTGAGACACGGTAATTTATTTGATCTGTACAAAGCGCTGTACCATTGAGCCTAACTTTGTTATATATTATCATAACAATCAAAAATTGTTTCTTATTCAATGTTC